TTTGACCCAGGAATTCCACTCCTAGAAATTTACCCTAAGAATGCAGCAGCCCAATTTGAAAAAGACATATGCACCCCTATGTTTATTGCAGCACTACTTACAATAGCCAAGAAATGGAAGCAACTTAAGTGTCCATCAGTAGATGAATGGATAAAGAAAATGTGGTATATATACACAATGGAATATTATTCAGCCATACAAAGAAAAAAAATCCTACCATTTGCAACAACATGGATGGAGCTAGAGGGTATTACGCTCAGAAAAATAAGCCAGGCAGAGAAAGACAAGTGCCAAATGATTTCACTCACCTGTGGAGTATAAGAACAAAGCAAAAACTGAAGGAACAAAACAGCAGCAGACTCACAGAACCCAAGAATGGACTAACAGTTACCAAAGGGAAAGGGACTGGGGAGGATGGGTGGGTAGGGAGGGCTAAGGGGAATAAGGGACATTATTATTAGGACACACAATGTAGCAGGGGACACGGGGAAGGCAGTATAGCACAGAGAAGATAAGTAGTGACTCTATAGTATCTTACTATGCTGATGGACAGTGGCTATAATGGGGTATGTGAGGGGGACTTGATAATGGGAGGAATCTAGTAACCACAGTGTTGCTCATATAATTGTATATTAATGATACCAAAATTTAAAAAAAAGATTATACATGGTACAATAATTAAGACTGTGTTGAAGGACAATACCCAATGGATTTTTGACAGAAGATCAGAAGCAGTTCAGTGGAGGATGATTTTTTTCAATAAATGGCATGGAGCAAATGGACATACAGAGACCAATTTAAAAAAAAAAAAGGAACCTCAACCTAAGTCTTCTATCTTATATAAAAATTAACTCAAAATGGATCATAGACTTAAATTTAAGACCTAAAACTATAACTTTTAGAAAAAAATATAGAAAATCTTTAAGAAATCCAGTGAGACAGAGTTCTTAGACTTGAAACCAAAAGCTTGATCCTTAAAAGGAAAAACTGAAATGTCAGACTTCATCAAAATTAGAGAATGATAAAACAAGTTACAGACTTAAGAAAGTATTTGCAAACAACATATCTGACAATGGACTGGTATCTAGAATAAATAAAAAATGTCAGTAGTCTACAGTAAGAAAATAAACAATCCAATTAGAAAATAAACAAAAGGAATGAACAGACATTTCACCGAAGAGGACATACAGATATCAAATAAGCCCATGAAAAGATGTTCATCATCATAATCCATTAGGGAATTGTAATTTAAACTGCAGTGAGATTTCACTACATACCTCTCAGTAGCTAAAATAAAAAAGTAATGAGACTGAATCCTGGTGAGGATGTGGAGAAAACCAGATTACTTATACATTGTTGATGGGAATATAAAATGGTACAGCCACTCTTTTACAGAGTGGCTGTACAGCAATCTTTTACAAAATTGAGTATGTAACTCCATACAATCCAGAAACTGGACCTCCAGGCATTTATTCCAGAGGAATGAAAAACTTACATTTGCATGAAAATCTATGCATGTTTAAAGATAAAGAAGTTTTATTTGTAATACCCAAAAAACAGAAACAACCTGATGACCTACAGGTGAATGACTGAATAAGCTGGTACGTCATACCCTGGACTACTACTGAACAATAAAAAGGAGTGAACTATTTATTGTTAGACACAACCACCTAGATGATTCTTGAGAGAATTATGCTGAGTGAAAGAAAGCCAGTCCAAAAGAGATTATATACTGTGTGTGTAATCAATGTAACATGTATGTAATTTATATAACATTACAAAATGACAAGATTATAGAAATAGAGAATAAACCAGCAGTTGCCAGCAATTGGGGAGGGAAGTAGGTGTGGCTACAAACTAGTCAGATGAGGAATCCCTGTGCTGATGGAGACGTTCTGTAGCTTGACTGCGTCACTATTGGTGTCCTAGTCATGATACTATATTACAGTTTTGCAAGCTGTTACCAAGGGTGTGGGGATAATTTAAAAAACAAGTAAGTTTAAAATGCCAAATCCCAGGTCCCACTCCAATCCCATCAAAACAAAACCACTGGTATGCTGGAACATAGGATTCCTCATTTTTAACAAACTTCAGGAAATTCTTATGCACGGGGGTGAAAAACTGCTTTATACCAACTACATTCCTCACATTCCCAATTTATCACCAATAGGGAAGCTTCCATTGACTAAATTACCATCATATTCCAGCCCAGAGTGTGGGATTTCCCCCAATTCTTATCTCATGCACCCTTAAACAGCTTGTTCTGCCTTTGTTCCATACTCACATCCATTGTCTAAGGATTTTGCTAATTTATTCCTCAGGAGACAATTTTATTTACATGGAATGGGGAGGGGATGATACCTTGCCATACCCACTATGCATGGCCAAGAACAGAAACACAAAAGCAGATTTAAATCCTTTTCCCTGACTCCAGGCACCTTTGCCCAAAGGAGTGGTGTGTGCATCATCCCAAAGCAGTGCTCCAGGCTCACCCTGGGTGACACAACTTCCCAAACCGTGCTTCAGATGGAAGCCTTGCTTTTACCCACAGAAATTTAACAAAAATACAACTGGTGGATATGTGAAATTTTTGCTAGCAACTTAAGCACAAAATGTTTTAAAAGATTAGAATTAAGACACAGTAAAGTCATGATTATTTGTATCAAGAAAAGGGATATAAATCATTTCAAATAACAAAATAACCAACTTGCACTTCATTTTTCAATCCACTCAGATTCTAATTCACTTACACACATTCAGACACTTTTATTCAAACTATCCTGCAAAATATGACCCTTAACCTGGCACTATAAGTTTCACATGAATTATGATGACAGAACAGGTCTAGGACTTAAAAAATAAACCGCAAAGCTGATGACTCTTTGACTGAAAATTTATGTGGATTTTTATTATTAGACATGTGGAAGTAGTATTAGGCAATTAAGTGGGATTTTTCAGTTTGCTTTTGTGCATTGAAAATGTTTCTATTTAAGTATACTTGGTATCAATGAAATGGCCAATTTTAAGCACACAGATCAACAGCTAAACTCCACTGCTGTGTGTGAGAGGGTGAAACTAAGTCGGAAATAATACTTTGGAGATGATGACATTTTGGCATCTACATAGAGAAAGCCAAGCTAAGGTAACTAAGGGGGAACCTCAACGCCTTCCCCAAGTGTTGTAAGGGACTGCAAAACATGGCATTCAAGGGAATTCCTGATTTTTTTTTCCTAACTGACCCACTTATTCAATAAGTATTTATAGTACCAAGCAGTTATAGGTGCTGAAATACAGGAATAATCAAAATAAACAAGAATCTCTGTCTCACTGGGACTTAGAGGCTAGTGATAATAAAAACCTTCCCTAGAATGTCACTATGGATGCCTCAAGATACATTCTTAACTCATTGTTGCAAGATCATATTTTGATGCAAATCCCAGGAATGTCACTTAAGAGATGTGTGAAACTGAGAAAGTCATTAACTTCTCCATGCCTCAGTTTTTCTATTTGTACGATAGAGAAAACGTCTCCCTCACAGCGTGTGAATGTAAAATGAAGTAATATACACGAAAGTACCCTAAAAGTGCCTGACCCACTATGGTTGCTGAATACATGTGACTAACTTCTCCATGAATATGTGTCCATGGAAAGCCTCTTTTGGAAAGCTCAAGGCGGCCACTACGAATTATCAAAGGTAAGTTCTGGTTTAGCTTTTAATTAGGAGAGTAGCACAGCCCATTATCAAGATGCTTCAAACACCCCAAGCACCCAAAATGTGTCTATTTTTATAGTGGGATTTGCTTGTTTTGTCCCCTAGACATGAACTTCAGGGCTTTAATGACAATAAATATGTCTCACTCCTAAGATACGGCAGCATTTGTCTTGGTGATATTGGTATGACTGTCATGGGCCCACTGTGGGCTACATCACTAGAGAGCCCATCACATCAAGAAGTCTGGGTAGCATTTTCCTAAGGGATTTATGGCTGTGCTGCCAGGTGGTGGCAGTGACAGAGTCAGGCATAATCCCACCAAGTCCTGTGACACACCAAGAGTCAGTCACTCCTGTTAAAACCTCTCAGGCACCAGTCACACAAACCAGTATCAAGTAAAAGAAAATCAAACAACCCATCTGCCAATAGTGATAATGAAATCAGTTCCAGCTCTTCCTAGACTTTGAACACTGTAAAGTCTACAGGCCATCAGGTTTTTGAGGGCAGAGACTTTAAACCTTTCTTACCTGTTGTACAAGAATATCTCCAATGCTGTTAATGATAAAATTCCTGTCATCTCCAGCACACGATTCCTGCCTTCGCTCCTTCATACTATAAAAGAAATGCCTATGGATTTCAAGTAACTCATCTAGGCAGGGGAAGATTTTGTCCACGGTGCCATGATCAAGCTGCAGCTCCTCCTTCATCCCTTTCCTGAAGACCTCAGACATGATGAACAGGGTCTGGATGTGGTGCATCTCTGTCTGCATTAGCTCTGAAACATATGGGCAGAAACCAGCATTAAAAAAACAAGTATCCCTGTCGACCTAAATCAGTTGCTAAACCCTCCACATTTTACAAATTCAAAGAGAGGGAATGTTTAGATATAACAATATTCTTCCACTATAAAAGTCAGCGTTGATTAAACATTTAATATAAGCTTGAAATATTAAACTATTTTCTTGTTTCCTTTTTTCTTATTTCTTATATTTGAAGAGGATATGTATAAGCCCAATACATAAGAATCCAAAGTATCTGAAACTCTCATAACTAGCTAGGTACCTTTAGTTAGGAAACAGGCCTTATTTGCCCCTGAATGCTCTATAACATAGAACGTAGCTTGCCAATTTTCTTTCTTTTTAGTTTTTGCATTGAGTAGGAGCACAATTAGTTTGGTGCATTAGATTGAATTATATAGAATAAAATTCCTTATGCAGGCAACAGTAGGTCCTTCTATTGCTGGATCTGTCTCGAAAATTCTTTCTCCAAGAGGACAATAATGTGTCATGATCAAGGCTCATCAAGGAAAAAAAAAGACAAACCAAAGAATGGGAGAAAATACAATTCTACAAGGCCTCCGTACTTGCTGTTCCTACTACCTGAAATGCTCTTTCCCTCAAAATCCATCTAACTCCTTCCCAAAGTCTTCCAGGTCTCATCAATTACTTTTTCTCATAAGTCTTCCCTGAATACCATATCTGCAATTTAATACCCCTTGTCCCAATGTTGGATATAGCCTACTACTCTATTTTACTTCTTAGCACCTATCACTACCTACAGCCTATTATCTACTTTACTTCTTTTTTACACTACACTGTAGGTTGTATATTCTCTGACTCCCCACAAGAAAGTAAGTCCATGAGAGCAGAGAATATGCACATTTTGTTTGGTGTTATTTCTCTAGTTTTTAGATATATACCTGGCAAATAATGGTGCTAATATTTGTTGAGTGGTATACATTATTTATTTCTCACAAACAAAAAATAGGTCATATTATCTATACTTTTAGCTGAATAAACTGAGTGCCTAAAGGTAGGAAATAACTTGCTCCATACCTCAGGGCAAGTAATAGGCTTCTTCTTAGAGAAGAAAAGCTGAAGAAGCACAGGGGGGCCAGCTAGATGATAATAGCTAAATGCTATCACAGAGAGATCTGACCTGTTACGTGGGTAACCAAGGAGTCAGGTGGAATCAATGGATAGAAATAGGGGAGAAAAATTTCTTAGCAGAGATTAATAGAATTAAAACTCAATGTCTATGGAAAGAGAGCATTCTAGAAAATGTAGATGTTCAAGAAAAATTGTATGATCAGGTTGCAGGGCTATGGCAACAATGATTAAAGTACTATAACGAACATGGAATTTTATATTTTTCGAAGACCTTGCATGATTTTCAAACAGAAATGTTTAATAAAGTGTGGCTGCCAAGGACACCAATTATTAAACTTTTATGGAAAAAGAAATGCTGGGATTTCCAGTAAAAGGAATGACAAATAAGGGAAAAAAATAGAAAAACATCTGATAAAGAACTTGCATCCAGAATATATAAAGGACTCTTACCCACTTCACAATAGGCAAAATACCTGAATAGTTGTTTCTCCAAAGAGATACACAAATAGCCATTCGGCACATAAAAGGATGTTCAATATCAATAGCCATCAGTGAAATGAAAATAAAATCCAAAGTGAGACACCACTTCATACACACTAGAATATTTGTAATAAAAAGGATGGGCAATAAAGAGGTGTTGGTGAAGATGTGGAGAAATAGAAGCCCTCATACACTGCTGATGGAAATATAACAGCTGGCAGTTCTTCAAAAGGTTAAACACAAAATTACCATGTGACCCAAAAAGTGGAAACCCAAAATGACCATTAACCGATCATTAGATGAACAAAATGTGGTGTATTTATAAAGAAATATGATACAGCCATAAAAAGGAATGGAGTACTGACATCCAACATAGCTGAACTTTGACAACAATAAGCCAGTCACAAGACACCACATATTGTACAATCCCACTTATGCAAAATATCCAGACTAGGCAAATCTAGGGAGACAGAAATTAGATTAGTGGTGCAAGGAGCTGATGGAAAGGGACCTGGGGAGTGATGCTACTGGGTACAGTGTTTCTTTTCGGACTGATGAAAATGTTCTGGAATTAGATGGTGGTTGATGATGCTACAACTTTGTAAATATACTAAACACCACTAGACTGTGCACTGCCAAGGGGGAGTTTTAAGATAAATGAATTACATATCAATTTTTAAAATGCCCCATGAGAGGAAATAATGATTCACAATTTATGGGAGCACCAGAAGTACAAGCTCTAGACTAATGAGTATTTCCAGACTCACATGTTCAGAGAAATAATCTAAAATAGCAGTCATGAGGGATAAACAAATCTAAATATAGCTTTATTTTATCATAAAACTAAAATATCTTTAATTGGGGGCCCACTAACTTCAAATTATTATTTCCTATCATGTTTTTTAGCACCTACTCTGTACTAAGCACCTATTTATATCATTTCTTTTAATCCTTTAATCCACTTATCCATTATGACCCAAAAAATAGGAATGATTTTCCTCATCCTTAAAGAGAGACAATGACGATGATAAAGGATTTTCCCCTCACTACAAGCTTTTCTGAAACTAAAGGTCATGTTATGAATTATACAACCTAATTCATCCCAAAGGATTAGGTTATTTTTAACATATGAAATTACAAGGTAAATAAAGAATAATTACAGCATAATGTAAATTACATGAGAAATATTAAAGGGGGCAGCATCTTCCTTTCCAAAACAACTCCTGCCTCTACAGCCCTGGACAGATTACAAAACATGCTCACATATCATCTCATCTGACCTGCAGAACCACCACCTGGCACAAGTGAGAAGGGGTCCCTTATTGCCACTGGGCTTTTACACCTATACTTACATACACAGGACTAGTGAAACTATGAGCTAGACTCATCTTTAAAGTCGGGCAAATTCTTGGAATCACACTGTAACATCTACTTTGTACTTGAACATTTTTTAAACTTCATTTTTTTCCTAACTAGTCTATAATTTTATTCCCTAATTCAGATTGCCTGCTCCCCAAAACAGTATCAAATCATAAACTCCCACCAGAGTTAAAACCCATCCTTAGTACTGCAGCATGCAGTTGACATTGCTCTGATCTTTGCAAGGGTTGCCAGTCCCATTGCAGTCTATACAAATGGCACTCCCTGTATGTGCAACAAATGACAGGGCCATATATGCAGCAGCAATGTTCACCCTATATCAACATATGTGACAGTTTACTGTGAGTCTTACAATAAAAGAATATAGGCCATGCCTAAGTAAACTTGAAAAGGGTATGTGAAATAAAATTTGCTTTATCCCAGGTACCTCTAATGTCTCACTTAAGGCTCACAACATTTTAAATCCAAATATCATTATCCCTATTTTAGAGATGTAGAGACTGAAGTCCAGGTGATAATAAGTTCAGTCTCAATAATTTGTCTGAGATCAAGTAACTAGAAAATGGTAGAACTGGGTATGAAGGCTTCAGTAAGGCTTCACATTCCATGCCGTTTGCTCTGCATCCCCTGCTTCAGCCTAAAGAGCGTATCTGAAATGCTTACCAAAAATGACATCCTGTCTTTTGATGACATTCTTCTCCTGCCTGTTACAAAACGAGGGGTCCACAACAAGACTCCAGGACTCAGCTTCCAACCCCTGGGCGTCGCTGCTGAGGTCACTCCACAGAGATGAATCCACCACGTCTGATGTGTTTAAAAGATTAGAATCAGAGTAACACACATAACCCAGGCGGGCCTTCACAAGTACCCCGTTTATGGATCCATCACACCAGTGAACCTGCTATGAATATACAAATGACTGAGCCAATTATTGTTAGTGTGGAGCTGAAACATCTGCCAAGCACACTGGCAAAATGATCCAAATCCAGACGGCTCTCAGGAAAGCCAAGGAGAACCAGATATTAAAACAGTGATTGTGGATATGCAAGAAAAAAAAAAACATTTGAAGATGCTTTTGTTTTGGCTTGCTCTATATTAGTTTATTTTTGGTAACCTTCAGAGTCCATAATGTGCTTACAAAATCTAGAACAAACCAATTTCTTTTGCACTGTTTAGTGAAATCTGAATTTTGCACTTGTCCATTTAATCTGCTTGCTGTTTGACTTGCTGTCCTTACATGAAACTGGGTGTAAGGCTTGAGTCACACGTATATATAGATTTTTCTGACAGAATTTGACAACACACACACACACACACACACACACACACACACCCCACCCCCTTCAGGACAACAAAATCCTATGTCCAAACAGCACTCTGGAAAGCAATTCCAACTCAAAGCAGTGCAGATGAAATAACAATGAATTTAAAGGCTTACATTTAAAATAAAAGAAATAGATTCCTGGGGCAGAGTCCACTCCTTTCTCTTGTCACTTGACTCTCCTTCATTCATCCTTGATTTACTGATACGGTTTTGGTACAAAAAGCAATTCCCCAGGTTAAATCCTATCTTAAAGTATCTGTTTTCTAAAAAAGTGTTTTTATGCCCCTACAAGTAGGAGGCACTAGATGGGGATAAATCTCACAGATTTGGGAAGTTCAGTATAATGAACTGAAGTGTATATATTTTAATGTACGATTTTATTCCGATTCATCACTTTTTTAAGCATAACAACACATAATATACTTTATTCTTTTCCTTTTGTTCATGACATCTACCCATTAAAAAGAATGTCATATTTCCTTGGTCCCTGTCTGGGAATCTCCTCTGGGGATAATTTTTCATTCTTATCATCAGAAGAACCTATACCAAAGAGACACCAAGAAACAAAATTCAAGAAGAACACAGAGTATGTCTCAATCTCACATCCCTCAGGAGACATTCCTGTGGGCAAATGCTCACAGGAACACAAGCAAATGCAGCCAGGTCTTCTCCTCACCTTCCATTAAGAAAGACTCCGTGGAGGGAGAAGACCCCATGGACTGTAGCAGTTCATCAGAGTGAGACCGGCTTCTCCAGTTGTTCCCGTCACTTTCGAACTCCAAGGATGTCCCCGACCTCCTGAAGCTGGACAGAGGGAGGCAGGGAGAAGAGTTAACCCCCACGACAGCTCTGAGACATTCGGGTGTAACCACACAGAGCCTTACCTTTCCAACGTGGTGCCTGGAACGCTTCTGGACAATGGATGGACCTGCCCTGCAGTTTCTTTCCTCCCGGTTGGCAGTCCAATAGGCATGGAGGAGGAAGGGTGCAAGGAGAGCCCGGGCTGTGGGGCGTCTCTAAATGAAGAATCTGGAAATCAGAATGGATGCTTCAGGTGGTTTTCACAGAGGGCAGTAATTACAAATAAAGACAGTCACTTCAAGGAAAAAGCTAAGCCCTGGAATGGCTGCTTCTTGAGACTAGTCTCCCTGCCACATCCCAACACCTGCTTCAAATGTCCCTTCCACTTCACACACCCTGATATCTATCGGGCAGGTCTGCTTTAGCACATCCCCTTGGAGACTGTGGGTGGCTGGGATTGCACAAACAAGAAAATGGAATCGGGAAACACTGAGACAGCTTTCCATAAACCACTGCTTGTGCATCCATAGATGCAAGGTGTTATTAGCACTACTACCAGAATGCATATTGTGTGTATAAACAAGCATATGTACACAAACACAGAGAATGTCAATAGATTGGAATGATGCTGGGGAGTTTGTTCTTTACGGTATAAGATTTTCAGACAAATGAAGCCCATGAGCCAAACTGAGGTATTCTCTCTCACATAGTGAAAACTAAATGGTACTTCAATACCTTTCTGGTGCATTCTAAATTGTTATAGGCATATATACACTTACATTTGATGTGTGCTATCTCCGAGAACATTTCAGTCCTATAATATCATAGCTGTAGCATACACCTCCTCAAACAAAAGGGGGAAAGTACTTACATGGAATCTCAGGATATTATGAAGGAGTTTACACATGTATGATTTAATTTGATTCTCATGACTTTCAAGTAAAAAGAAGAAATGTATGGTATTCTGTCAATTCTAAGACACTTTTGTTTTCATGCTTACATTATGAAATTGAGAAGTACCTTACAACTGAGGCCAAAGGGATTTCCAGTAAATGCTGTCACAGTTGTTACTGCCCATACTAGCTTAACCTCATGTAACCTTGTGTAACATCACACCCAATCGCATGTCAGCATGAATCTGCATACCTCATTATCCCCTGGTTTAAGTGGTTTTTAAAACACTGGTCACACTTTGTTACAGCACTGAAATGAAAAGTGACCACAAATGAAAAATGCCTGCCACATAGCAAGCAATGCAGTATTTGAGGCAGAAGAACTTGCATAGTCTCTCACAACAAATGAAAGTATTTTCAAACTTAGGAAATGATGGTCCCTAGTTTTGGCATGCAATGTAAAGAACTGTCAGAGGCTGCCACTTACTTTCAAGAAAAACTGTTTAAATTTCAGCAATACATACTTTAAGAAAAAACAGAACCACCAAGTTTAATGATATGCAAACAAAACTCCTGTGTGCCTTGAAATTTTGCTACCATCCTAAAGGAGCTGATGCAATCACAGCCTCAAGCACAGCTAATAAAAAGCACCTGGTTCCTGTGATAATGGACAACAGGGACTGTAAACTCCAAGCCCGAAGATTTTTCCACTAACTTTGTGATTCTTAAGAAGCACCTGATGCACATTTGTATAGATAAATATGTGCTACTGCTAGGAAAACATAAAATTATGGACATGAAATGCAGTGTTTCTCTTTTCCCCAAAAGGTTATCATTAAATCAAAAGCACATATTACACTAGATCACATCCTAGAATTGAGGTAATACAGCAACACTTCCTCTATACAATCCTCCCTAATATACAAGATCATATAGTGCATATAGCACCAAGGCTGTTAGGTTGCCATGGGAGTTTATACCACTCTGGATCTCCAAAACTACAAATTATACCAACATTTTCCACATCACTTACTTCCAAGGACAGTCTGTGGTTTGTTCTTGTTGTATTTCTCTTGGAATTTCTGGTAAAGAACATTAGAAACACATAAAATAAGATGAAAGTTTCACTAGACTACAGAAATGCCCGCAGAACAGCACCCTCATCTTTATCATTTTCATTACTCATGTCAAACAGAGAGGAATTCAAAGCAAAGGACATTAAATGACATGAAGAGAAAAATGTTAACAATAATGAGACATGCAGGTTGCAATGAAGGTGTGCCCCATGGGGCATATGTCAGAAACAGGCTGAAAGGGTTTCAGGGTGGGACTGTCTTCCTCCTGCTTGTTTTCCTACTCCCAGTCAGTCCTCCTGCCTATGGGACAGAATGACACTGAGCATGGGAACATCACCCTCAACTCTGCCCCAGACACACCTGTGTTTCAATCAATACAGAGGCTAGTGACTCCGAGTTCCCTCTGCAGGGCTGTCATGCCCACTCATCTGCATTTCTGACATGACTTTAGGAAAGAAAGGAATAGGATGAGAGATGCTCTCATCCACTCCAGCCCACCTCCAGAACTCGGACACATCTCTCTGATCCAGTGGGCCTCAGGATGCAGCCCTAGCCAGAAGCACCACCTGGGGATGTGCTGGAAATGCAAATTCTCAGGCCCCTCCCAGATCTACTGGATCAGAAACTCAGGGATCAGGGCCTGGAAATCTGTTGTTAACAAGTCCTGCAGGTGGTGATGTGTTTACAAATTACTCCTTTAGACTTCATTTACATATGCTTGAGGTTTGCACCAGTAAACCCAGCAGGTCCCAGAGGAAAGCTTAACAGAGCCATACTCCATAACATATAGATGGCCACACTCAAGTTCTCCCTCTATTTCTCAGTGTATAGTTAAGGCAGTAATTATACACTTGGAACATGTGTTATTTTATCACTACACTGATCACTTTAGAAATAAATCTATACAATAAGAGAGTAAAAACCTAAATAGATAATATGATGCAACCAAACTTGATAGACACATACAATACAAAAGGCTGAGCAAGTGATTACCTTGGTACATGGAGGTGCAGCATCTTTACAACCCTTATGCACATTCGCACTGCAGTCTGAAACAAAGGGAAAAGATAGAAAGGTGCCCATCTTATTTACATTAATCTGAAACAAATAAGCCTATATTACACTTTCACTGGTCATTAGAAAAATGGCACATAAACATTAAAAATACTTAGAAAATTTAAGAAAAAATACTTAAATTACATGTAGCCCCACCATTCAAGCAAGAACATGTTGTTAATATTTTAATTTCTTTGAGATATTTTTCCACTTCTGCATAGGGTCTTACCCATTATGAAACCTGGAATTATATGACATACATTTGTGTGTCACCTGAGAACTCATTTACTACTATGTGCCTTATCTGTAAGGGATTTCTGACATCGCTTGGTAGCAGCTGCCCATTCCCATGCCAAGTAAAATGCCTATGAAGCGGGAAAGAAAGGAAAACTTACAACATGGGGCAAAAGATGTCCTGTCAGGCACCAACAGGAATTCCTCCTTACTAGAGGTCACCCAGTTAAAAGTTGGTGGCTTCACTTTGCTTTACTTCATAGGACAATGTGGCCTCCTCTCCCTAAAAGCAGGTAACAGTTTGCCTGCCCCTTTCTGTCCACTGGCTCAGTAGCCCTGTGTGGGGACCCTCTCTGCCAGGTGGCTGTCTTGTGCCTCCTCTCCCCAATTGACTCCACACCAGCCCCACACACTGTGTGTGGACAGAGGAGCCTGTGGCTTATCAGAAACCTCCTAAGAAAGGATCATTCCTCAGAGGTAAAAGGTCCCACCCAGGTCAAAGCCACATAGGAAAAGTGCCCATAACCTGCTGAGAACAGAGCAAGAAACTGAGCCAAACAATGGCCCTCCAGCTTCAAGGGCTGCAGAGAAATTGCAGCCAACTCAATGGCCAATGGGCAGAGCCCAGGCTGATGTACATCCTGCCCCTGCTGGCAAACGGAAATCCGACAGCTCTCTCCACACTCCAGGACAAGTGAATAAAAGCAAAAGGTAAAAAGTAGACGGTATGAGATACCACAAAGTTATACTGAAAATGCACAGAAAGAACAAGTCACAGAATTATTAAATCCAGAAACAAAGGAGAAAAATTTAGATATCTGAAATGCATTTTCCCTAAGAGACACAAAGCAGACATAAAACAGGACCAAAAGGCCGTGAATGGAGAACAGGAGAGGACAACAGGCCAACAGGATGAGAGGGAAAGGAAGCTTTGTGAGACGGGAAAGCAGAACTTAAAGTGAATTGAGGAGAAACAATGTTAAAAAGTATCAAAGCAGTACTATGAAATTAAACATGAAAGGTTCCTTCCAGAATGTGGAGAAAAAGTGTATAACTATAAAACAGAAGGTGTCATACAAAGATGATAAATAACAGAGATCACACTTCTCCAAGGAAGAAATCAGAAATATTAGAAGCAATAGTCAAAGCTACAACTGACAAAACTTATAAAGCTAAAAAAGAACCAAAAAGAGGCAGATCAAAAGGTCTCAGTTTTCTAGGAAAAACAATTAAATGACACCTATTCCATAGAAACATTCTGACAATATCCATATGATTAAAAAAATTAAAAGTCATCAAGCCTATAGGAAAAAAAAGCAAGTTACCAAAAAAGAAATGAGTCAAGCAGGCCCCGGACATTTTTACTATAATAAATGCCCAGATATAAAGACCAGTGTTGACAAAGTATCAGGGAGGAAAGTTTTGGTCCAAGAATTTATTTAGACAGATAAACTACTTTTCTTGTGTGAAAGAAGCAAAGATATACCTTTAGATACACAAAGCTTCAGAAAATAGATCACTCCAATAACCTTCTTGGAAATTTTTTTTCCCTGAAATCCTCTTCTAGTCTATTAAGAGCAGAATCAAGATTAAGGTTTCGAGAATGCATCAACTTTTATATATACATACATATACACACATGCACATACACATATATATACATATGTATATACACATATATGTACACATAACAGGAGCAAAAGTGAGCACTAAAGCCAGCTAAACAATCACATCTAAAAAAATTGCTGTTAAGTAGAAACACACAACTAAATACAAATATCAATTATTCTTGAAACAGAAAATTATTCTTGAAAGATTAAACACATGAACACAGTAATTTAATAATGAAATCAGTATACTAATAGAGGCTAAGAAAAAGAGGGCAAATATAAGGTAAATAAAAGAATATTAAATTATAAGCCTTACACAGCCTTAAAATCTCATTAGTAAATATTAAGAGAGCAGTTTTCCAAATCCCTGGAAAAGACAAAAGCCAACAACACATGGCCTAAATAGCTAAGCCAGACATCAAAGAAAACAGCAAAGAACTATAAAAGATAGCTGATAGCTATAAAATTAAATGTAGATAAGAAAAACACTCATTATAAAATAAGGTCTCTCGTTACATTATAGATCACCTATGCCCAAATTAAAGACACACATCCCAAATTTAAAATACCGAAATAGGGGAAATACAAACAAAAGAAAAGAGGGATATTAATTTTAGACAAAGTAAAATTTAATGCAAAAGGCATCAATGGCATTAAAAGGGTAATTTCATGTTTATAAAAGTTAAATCTGCAATGAAGCTGTGATTTGTGAATTTTGTGCACCAAATAATGTAACATCAAAGTACAAGCATTGAAATTTCTAGAAATACTGTGAAATCTATTTATAAATATGGAGAATTTTATAGAAATACAGTATTTGTGGAAACTAGCAACTTAGGCTTTGACAAAGCAGAATATAGACACCAGAATTTTGAATATGCTTTGTTTCATATGTTTTTAAGATTAGAAATATTAACCTTCATAATTAAGCACAAAAATATACACATGAAATAAGATTATTTATTTGCCAATAATGGCAGTTTATACAATGTTACATTCTTACCCAGTGTAAATAATGTTAATAACCAAAGTTTAAGCCCCCAACATTCCCCTCCAAAAAAAAAAACTGTAAATCTTAAACTTTCTAAAAACTGTGGGTTAAAGAGAAAATTAAACATATACTCATAATGATTCTAGAATTTATTCTAAGACAATAACCAAAGATATGGACAGCGATATGTGCAAAAGAATGTTCTGTTTAACATATTAATGTGAAAAAACTGGAAAAAATTAAATGTATAAGGACAACTAAACACATTTGATATCATCATCAAATGAAATGTTAGCATAAAAAGCTAACTTTTTTAATCATTAGAAGAGACTCCATCCAAATATGCATAGCAATTTTCTCTAAGTTTCTCTTTAAACCTTACATCTTTTATGAATCCTACTGCATTATTTAAGTTATTGACTATTTGAAAAACTAAATATATCCCATGTACTTCCAGCAAACTTCCTCTAAAACTTCCATGATGGTCCACCTGACCAAGTTAGTACAAACCAACATGTTCTGTATTACAGCAGGTTACCTTTCAGTGACCCTGGCTCCCCAATTTTCCATCAGTCATGAACTACAAAAGAGTGTCAGAGGGCCCAGCTTTGTGATAGCTGCTGTAGGGGATACAAACAACCACCATGTGATCATAGTGCTATGCAAACAAAGTCTGTTTTAGTAGCTAAAAATCAAAGAGGTTGTACATAACCTGGTATTAAACGGAAAGGACAAATAGAGCATAAACATGATGTGCAGGAATTTAGGATGCATTGGTCTGGGAAGATCTCCCAGAGAGAAGGTAAGAAGAAATCTAGACTGTTGCAGAGAAATAGGGGAAACAGAGAAGGGAGATTATCATAAGCAAAGGGACAGAGGCAGGAAATACATGTAGTGGGAGTAAAGGACAACAGCCTGGTGGGCCCTCTGGTAGCAAACTAGGACTCAAGAGTGAGCTTATTGTAGGATGCATCAGTGGGACACACGCGGGGAACAAAAAGCATCTCAAGAGCCTGAGCTTAGCCAGTAAACAAAAAAGAGCAAAGTCCGTAAGTGTATGTGGGTGGATGAAAGTGATGTTTTACAAAGATTAATGTGATCAAAGTATTCAGAATAAATTCTAAGTGAAAATACCTAGAAAGAGGGAAACTGGTATGATTCACTCTCAGCAGTATAGAAGGTGGTGCTGAGAATCTACCTGAGCCGTAACTGTGAGCAAGGAAAAGAAAGACACCAAACATATTGCCTCGGGGGCCACAAGGGAGGGGAATCAACGTGCCTGTGATCTGAGCCTGTACCATTACCACAGTGGAAAGGACAGCCTTTTGCATGTGGATTTTGAGGACAAGCTGGTCTGGGAGATGAGGAACCCTCCAGGCGGCGATGCCCACAGACAGGGTCACACTGAGTCAGTATGATGGCGCAGCCCTGGTTCATTCCTGCAGTTCCACCACAATGCTCAAAAGTGGCCACAGGTCACCTGGGTGCTCAGCCTCCCTAGGCAACTGGGAATGTGGAAATAGGGAGTGAGGATAAAGATGTTAATCTGGGGAGAAGAGGTCTAAATAGTATTTTAGAACACCCACCAGACTGGATGACTATGCTAAGAAACCATCAGGCGGAATGAAGCAATGCTAAGGACTGATCTGGAGGGTGCTCAGAGCTGGGGGGAAGGTGGCGAAACACAACAGTAGTGTGCCAGGGCAAAGAGCATTTCCCTACATGAAGGGACGATCAGCATGAAAGCAGATCGGTGAGTCTGCATAATGAGGAAAGGCTCTCAGACTCGACAAGAAAGCGACTCCAGTGAGGACACAAGCCAAAATGTAGATGGTGAAGATGTGGCCAGAGGGACCTTAGAGCAGTGAGTGGAGACCACCCAACATGAGGAATGTGTCTTAAAATGAGGGGAGAGAAAGGCCCTGGATGTGGCTGGGAGTGCACTGCAGGGATCCGGGATCGGCCCTGCCAAGAAGCAGGGAGTGAGAACCAATGAAACAGGCCATCACACTTACAAACTGACTGCTGGCATGTGGGCAAACCAGAAGCAATACTTAGAGCAAATTCCCAAAACTTCACAAATTAAATAATATCTGAACTGCTTGATGCTATTTCAGATCAAATAGAAGTAACCAAGTTTCCAAGGAAAGTTAATTCAAGCATGCAATAGAGCCGGCGTAATTACAGTGGTAACTGAGAAGAAAATGCAATCTGCCTTTAACGCCATATACGGATTGTAGTTTCATCAGATGTGTAACCATTGACACATTAAAAATTTTAATTTAATCGTTTTCTAAGAATTTAATGAAGAATTTTATATGTAACCTTCCCCTGCTCTTCTTTTCCCTCTGTGCTCCCAACCCACCCCCAAAATGTTCCACTAATTCTGGCCACCAACAAATACCAGGAAATGCATTTCACCTGCTTAGGCCTGAATTTGTGTGCCTTTAATTATTCTTTCACTCCACAAGTATTTACTAAGCCTCTACTATGTACACGGTGTTGTTCAAGGCACTGTGAATATAGCAGAGGGTAAAATCAGTAAGAAATGCAGCCCTCAAAGAATTTGTATTCTGGTGGAGGAAACAGAATATAAATAATACATGACACATGGAGTAAGTCAGATGATGCTAAATGCCACTGGGGTGGGTGGGGGGAGATGAGACCAGCATAGGGTGGTCAGGAGAGGGGTGACTGAGCAGCTGTGATCTGAGCAGACCTGAGGGAGGTGAGTGGGCAAACCATGCAGCTACATGACGGGGGAGCGCAGCAGGCAGAAGGGTCAGCCAGGAAAGGCCCCACGGCCGCAGCATGCCTGGCAGGTTCAAGGAACAACAAAGATGCCAGAGTGACCAGGGCAGAGGGAACAAAGACTGAGGGTGGCAGTGGGGGCATGGAGGACATCAGGAACCTTGTGGCCACCGTCAGGGCTTTAGCCTTCCTCGGGGGATGAGAGGAAGTGGCTGGAGGACTTGGCGCACTGAAATGTGCCTCAGCAACCTCTCTGGCTGATGTTATGAACAGGTGTTTTGAGAACGATGCTTTTCGTGGTAAAAGCACAAGAAAACCAGTTAGGAAGCTATTGAAATGGTGGCTTTAGACCAGGGTGGTAAGGGTGGTAAGGGTGGCAGGGGTGAGAAGTGGCTGGCTTTCACATGTATTTTGAAGACACAGCCGAGAGGATTACTGAAGGATTGGAGTGGATGTGAGGGAGAGGCATACGGAAATACTCCAAGACCTTTGCCATGAGCATCTGGCTGGAATGCTAGAGCCGCTGGTTAACTGAAAGGGTCAGTTTGTAGGTGGGCACAGGAGTGGGGAGCAGAGCTCTGCTTTGGACATGCAACATTTGCGAAGCTGTTTGGACACCCGAGTGGAGAAGTCAAGTAGTCAGTAAAGTACACAAGTCTGGACTTCTGGGAGGCCAACCCCTGTGGACAAAAAGTACCCACTCTCACCATCACAGCTCATGGCTTGGGAAGCTGTTAAGTCATATTTACAGCACATAAAATGAAGGTTGATGGGAATAGCTTAGCAATGGCCATATTCTCAGAGAGCAAAGTGCAAAGACAGCACACATAGATCAGAGAACTTACTGGAACACTGGAATGACTCTTTCCCCAGGAGCGTCTTATCACAAACCAAACACTGTAGAACCCCAGAGAACGTCCCAGGGACAAACTGATGCCGGCTCAGCTTCTCTTTGTCTTTGGCATCTTTGCTTTTTGTCTTCAGACACAGCAGCAGGAAAGGGGGGAAAATTAGAAAAGAGAAATGCTGAGAGCCAATCTGCTTGAAGAAGTCATACAAACAAAGTTTCTACATTTTCAGTTAGAATATAAGGACTGCACAGAGAGTGACATCACCGTCTTAGTATTTCTAGTGATTCTCTAAGAAATATAGAGGTCTTCAAATATGTCTCTATAAAAGCAAAGTGATTTCAAACAGAAAGTGGAAACTAATTGCTCAGAAACTGAGCCACCTATATTTTAGAGACAATAGGCCTAGAACCTTAATTACCTTAGATTTATTCCGAGGGCTAGTCATCCTGTTCATGAGGAAACTGAAAGTTCGACTCACTTTGTACTTTTCAGACTCTGATTTGGCGGGTATGATGTATTTGTCCCATTCTTCTTCCTGGGTTCTGCGAGAAAGAATCTGTTACCATGGGTTCTAGGCATAAAGAGGGAGCAGAAAATGGCATATACCTACATACATATATATGTGTGTGTACATATATACATATTTTTTTCAGGTTTTAATGGTTATTCTAAAGAAAGATAGAAACTCTATTAAAAGTGTATCTTAAAGATGGATAGGTGGATAGTTGTATAGTAAAACAACCATTCACATGTTATCTAAGTACAGAATCTAAGTGGTGGAAATGGGTAATGCAGTACATAATTCTTTCAACTTTTTGTATACTTTAAACTTTTTATAATAAAAAATATTGGGGAAATACAGGAAATCTTAGGCTTGTAATTTTATTCTGAAAACACTCATCTCCCTATTTACTATGCTAATAAACATTTCCTAGGGCACAGAGAAGCGAAATAACCAACAACATGAAACTGGATTTTACTTATTTTTGGAACAGAATGATAATATCCAGCAGACACACATTTCCTTTGTCAATACAGCTTGAGACTGTCTGCTCTTAATTCAGTCTCTCATACTCAATCAGGCTATTTGCAATCTGAGGCTCTCTAGGTTGTAAAGGAGAGAAGGCTATGGAGACTCCCCAAAATAAGAGGCAACCTAGAGGTAACTGTACCCAATCCATGAACATACCAATCATCATTTATTTTCCTCTAATCCATATAATCACTCTTCAGAAAAAAACAAGTCCCACCCCTAGAGTTGTATTTCCCCCATAACTTTCTTTAGTAGTCTTACATTTCTATTATTACACACAGAAAGAGAGAGAGAGAATATATTAAAGATCAATCTAAGTATCATGTCAACCAGGTAACACTTCCATAGACTATTTTCAAAATGAACATTTCATAACCAAAGTCTCTGCCACCCCCCAAACTTTTCATTTAGTGGCTCACAGCGTTAGTGGCTAACACACTCATATCTGGGAAACCCTTTTCAAAAGTAATCATGTTATTGATATGCACCAAAATAAATATGATTATATTTCATGATAATGAATCCAATTATAAGTTTCTAGGATTCCAGTTCTTCTCATCTGATTGATGACGGGCTTAGAAAATTACTTCTAAAGCCCCTTCCCACAGTTAAAATATAATACGTACTTACCTGTTACATATTAAACAAAACTTAAAGTTACTTAACCTCTCTGTTAGATTTAAGAGTTCAAACCTATAAATGCATTAGAAGAAACAATAAATGCCTTCAGGCTTCAGAGCTACCTCTTGGTCATGCAGATCTAATGACATAGGCAGAATAGTGTGTGCCCTGCTAGCAAATCCTGACAGTAAGTGAAACTGGGTCTGTTACTTAGAGAAAAGAGTTGAAAATGTTAGAAAGGAAAGAGGGTGAAGAGAAGTGAATGCACCCTTCAACTACTCAGAGTAACAAAAGGAACTCAGATTCTCTTATTTCCTTGCTACTTCCATAGCCACCTCCCTAGATAACTGCCTAAGCTAACATAGGCATACCTCGGGGTCAGTTCCAGACCACTGCAATAAAGCAGGTCAAAAGAATGTTTTGGTCTCCTAGTACATTAAAAAGTTATGTTGACATACTGTAGTCTATTAGTGAGTGCAGTAGCATTATATATAAAAATGGTGTACATAGCTTAATTAAAAATACTTCATTGCTAAAAAAGCCTGAGCTTTCAGTGAGTGATAATCTTTTTGCTGGTGGAGAGTCTTGCCTTGAGGTTATGGCAGCAGACCTATCAGGGTGGCAGCTGCTGAAAGATGAGGTGGCTCTGGCAGTTTCTTAACACAGCAATGAAGTTTGCTGTATCCATTAACTATTCATTTCACAAATGATTTCTCTGTAGCCTGTGATGCTGTTTGATAGCATTTTGTCCACAGAATTTCCTTCAGAAGTAATCAATCCTCTCAAATCCTACCACTATCAACTAAGTTTATGTAATATTCTCAACCCTTTGTTGTCATTTCAACAATCCTCACAGAATTCTAACTAGGAGTAGATTCCATCTTAAGAAACCACTTTCTTTGTTCATCCTGAGAAGCAACACCTCATCCAAATTTTATGATGAGATTGCAGCAATTGAGTCACATCTTCAGACTACATTTCTAACTGGAGTACTCTTGCTGTTTCTACCATATCCACAGTTACTTCCTCTACTGAAGTCTAATTTCTCAGTCATCCATGATGGTTGGAATCAACTTCTTCCAAACTCCCATTCATGCTGATATTCTGACCTCTTCTCATGAATCACAAATGTTCTTAATAGCATCTAAAATTATGACTTGCCCAGATCCATCAGAGGAATCACCATCTAAAGCAGCTATAGCCTTACATAATGTATTTATTAAATAATAAGACTTGAAAGTTGAAATGACTCCTTGATCTATGGGCTGCAGAATGTATGTTTTGTTAGGTTAAACAACATACATTCTGCAGGTTAAACAACATTAACCTTTTTGTCCATCTCCATCAGAGCTCTTGAGTGACCAGGTGCATTGTCAATGAGCAGTCATATTTTGAAAGGACTTTTTATTCCTGAGCAGTAGGTCTCAATAGTGGACTTAAAACATTCAGCAAATCATGTTGTAAACAGATGTGCTGGCATTCAGGCTTTGTTGCTCCATTTATAGAGCACAAAGTAGATTTAGCATAATTCTTAAGAGCCCCGGGATTTCTGTAATTGCAAATGAGCATTAGCGTCAACTTAGTTACCAGCTGCATTATTAGTCCCTAACAAGAGAGTCAGCCTGTCCTTTGAAGCTTTGAAGCCAGGCATTGACCTCTCTCTAGCTCTGTATGAAATTTCTAGCTAGCATCTTCTTCCAATAGAAGGCTGTTTTGTCTACACTGGAAACCTGTTGTTTAGCATAGCCGCCTTCAACAATTATCTCAGCTAGATCATCTGGAAACTTGCTGCAGCGTTAGCACTTGCTACTTCACCCGCATTTCTATGTTTTGGAGACAGCTTCTTTCCTCTTCGGCAGCTTCCTCACCTATCTGACCTTTACAGAATTGACGAGAGTTAGGTCCTTACTCTGGATTAGGCCATTGCTTAAGGGAATGTTGTGGCTGGTTTGCTCTTCTATCCAGAACACTAAAACTTTTCTCTGTATCAGCAATAACCTATTTCATTGCTTATCATTCATGTGTTTACAGAGTAGCGCTTTTAATTTCCTTCAAGAGGTTTTCCTTTGCAATCACAGCTTGGCTCACTGTTGGCACAAGAGGCCTCCCTTTCGGCCTTTCTCAGTTTTCAGTATGCCTTCCTCACTAAGCTTAATCATTTCTAACTTTTGGTTTAAAGTGAGAGACATGTAAGTCTTCCTTCCACTTGAACACTTAGAGGCCATTATATGACTATTAATTGGTCTAATTGCAATATTGTTGTGTCTCAGGGACTAGGGAGGCCCAAGGAGAGGGTAAGAGTTGGGGGAATGGCTGGTCAGTGGAGCAGTCAGAATGCACACATTTACTAAGTTTCTCATCTTATAGGGGAATGGTTCACTGCACCCCAAAACAATTAAAAGAGTAACATTAAAGATCACCACAAAAAATAACAATGAAAAATCTGAAGTATTGTGAGAATTACCAAAATTGTGGCAGAAACATGAAGTGAGCAGTTGTTGTTGGAAAAATGGCACAGATAGCTGTGCTTGACATGGAGTTGCCACAAACCATCAATTTGCAAAAAAATTCAGTGTCTTCGAAGCACAATAAAGCAAAGTGCAATAAAATGAGGTCTGACTGTGTGTCTGTCAATTTCCATACCTCCTGTGTTTTAAGCATCCTAATTTGCAGAACTCAAGGCAGAGTGTTGAACAGGCTTATTTTTGGAATGTGGGAAAAATACATTTGAGAGCGTAGAAAGAATCTTCTCTAGAACACTTTTTGTGACCCCACCAAGTGCCATTCAGTGTTTAATAAGAGGGTGGTATGGTGAGGAGACCTAAGTCTCAGAATTAAATAACAGTAAGGTCAATATGGATTTTGAAGTCAAGCAGACCTCTCCCCTACTTCCCAAAAGAAACACAACTCTCTCAAATAAAAAAATGAATTCTCGTTTGCCCAACTATATTCCCAGGTTCCCCATGCTGAGAAGACTACATCAAACGCTCAGTTTCAATTTAAAATCTAGAAATGCACCAAAATTTACCATATATACTATATGCTTCCACAAAATGACAGAAAATCATACTGTTTAATCTTTAAACTCAAAGGTCAATAAGATGTGAGACATGACAAAGGAAAAACAAACAAACATCCAACCTGGCAGAAATGTGAGTATCATACACTAATCCAATGTCAGATTGTGAAAAATGGGTAGCATAGTGTACTCTCTGGGCATACATGGAAGGATGGTTGATTACAAGTTTCAAATCTAATATAACTATGTGGTATTCACCTATAAAAGAATTAGGTACTTTAGGAAAGAACTGAGAAGGGAAAAATCCTCAACTGATTTCACAGGAGAATTTAAATAGCTTTTCAATTTACAGGAATCAGAAAAAATTAAACTCTTTCAACACCCCAGAACAAGGGGCCTAATCTCTGTTATCAATTTGATGACCAATGGAATTGTCCGCAATAAAGTTTCACAAGCCCCATTCTCCAGAGACCCTCTTGGCTTTGCTTTCTCAATAGGTAAACAGATATTTAAAATATCTTAAGAACAAGGATCCTCAATATCTTAATCCTTAACCAATTATGTCTATAACCTATTGTTTTAAAAGAACTAGACATCTAAGTGTTAAAAGACATTCACACCATCCAAATTGAAAATTGACAGTGACACTTCTTTGAACACTCAGATGCTCAGGTTTTTATTGAAGTATCATTGATACACAATCTTAGATTGGTTTCAAGTATACAACACAATTGTTCAACAGTTACCCATATTATTAAATCTCACCCCATACTAGTAGTTACTATTTGTCAACATAAAAGATGTTACAGAATCACTGACTATATTCTCCATGCTGTACCATTCTCATGACTAACTTATGATTGAGAATT